TATAGATTTAATCAAATGAGTCATATAGGTTATGATTTGTATCTAAATGGCATGACATCTTCAAGTGTCTAGACTGTTGGTCCGATCCTCACAATCTTTTACAATATTGTGCACTATATTGTATCAAATACATTGTCGACGATCATTTCATATCAGTTCGCAAGTGAGATAACTTGTTAAGATCTCATCACTTTCTTTATTTTCAGGTACCTGAACTTCTTCAGGAGTTTCATGAAATATTATGTCGTGGGCTCTTCTAGAGCTTATTTCCTCCTCATTATGATCATTTTGATCATTTGCTCCTATCCTTTTCAAGGATTGTTACCTTTGGAACCGATTTGTCTACCACGCTTCATGCGTACAGTAAACTCCATCCTTCAGGGATTTTAATTTTAATAGGAGCATTTGTAGCTGAAATATGATATTTAATTTTGGATCAGCAAATGCTTCTGGTATTTGACTTGAATTATCTTCTAAGTAAGGATCATACTAATGATAATTCGATTCATATAACATATTTTTTAACTGCTTATTCCATCCCCCTAATGTTAGAAAAACTAACATATATCCCAAAATTTCTTTGAAAAACCTATCTTTGTACTTTGTGGTAGAGAAATTAATCATATACCACGGATCAAAAGTTATTAGATAGTAAAAATATTTAGTTTCTGATCCTAAACCAATTGTGAGGGGATGACATATCATATATTGTTGGTCTGATGCATACAAGTGTTGCTATATGCAATTTAAAAAATATTTTGACTAACACATGAAGCTTTATTCTCACAAACAATAGTTTAGCCATTAATAGGAGGTATTCAATGCTAAACCATCATTATCAAGATGAACTATCTTGATTTCATAATCTGAAAATTATGCTCTTAATTAGGAAAAGCAATTTCAAATGCCAAACTACAGGTTGACAATAAACATACATGTAACCATCTCATATATGCATCTATAAGTGGTTCACATGATAGGTGAATGAGCCTATATTCACCTTTTATATATTTCAGAATCAGGGGTTTTAGTCCCAACTTTAGCTGGTATAATCAATTTATTATGAGAATAAGCAAAATAGGAGAATTCTTGAAGAATCTTCTAGTTCTTCAGTATATGCTTATCTGAATTATCAAATAGCTCATTTAAAAATGAAAAATGAAAACTTCATGTTTATCATGGTATGTGTTATCTCTTAGCAAACTTCTGGTTTACTATGGCATAAACTTTTGCATTAGTAAACTTCTGTTTTACTGTGATACATGATGTAGTACAAAATTAAAGAATAAGGCGGGTAATTTCTCACATACATATTATTTTACCCCCTATGAGTATGGAAACATAAAGATTTTCAATCTTCCAATCAGTGTAGTCTCAATATTATAACCATTTGTATTAGTAAACTTCAGATTTACTACAACATATGTTTTGACCATAATCATATAATATGAATGACATATTTGTATATAAGCTCTTCGAGAGCCTTCGTTTATTATCCACAATCTAATATTTATTAGACACTACGGGTGTCATGTGTCTTCTAAACAAACAGTTAGCTCTTCAGGAGTTGTTGATACATTTTGTACTATCAAATATTGTTCAGACACTTCTGGTATCATAAGAGAAAATTATAATCAAATAAACAATATAAAACAATTGTTTAAGTACAAGAAAACACCTCTTCATAATATTTTCCTACTTCAGGAGGAAATTTCAATTGTGTTACTTCTTCAGGAACAAATTTAAAATACAAAATATTGAGTACATATTCCCTCTTCTGGAGGTGAATTGTTATATATTTACATCAAAAGCGCATTCATATTTACGAGCTTTATTAGTATTGTCACATTCACTTCAGGGAATGGATTAATATTTAGCAAAAGTTTTCATCCTTCTGGGAACGGAACATAATTATTTGAACGTGCAGTAATCACACCAAATTGTGTGATGGCTTAGAACCTCTTTTAAGATAATGCTACTTCTGGAGCAAATCGAGGCATGCAAGTAATATAGAGAAATTTTCTCTAACTTATCTTCAATTGTAATAATAGAAAACTTAAATTATCACTTCTGGTGGTCATAGGCATATACCACTTCTGGTGGTTAATAAAATTTAGTTACAATAAGATATACGAAATATAACCACTTCTGGTGGTTGTATATTTCTTGTAAACTCTGCTGGAGTTTAAGTAGATCTAACAATGTTATCCACTTTATAATCCTTTATTAAGATAATTAGGATGCATAAAAAACCAAAATAGGTACTGTATACGTAGCATATAACCAAGCAAGCGATGTAAATATATTAAACTAAATATAAGCAAAAGGCTCAAATTACTTTACACAATTTTGGCCACTCCAGACGCAAGTGATATCCACATCACTGCCGCCAAGAAGAAAAGCTCATCACCTCAAGGACACTCTGCCTTATGATGCTTGGAATGAACAAGATCTAACCACAGATGTAAGAGCGTCGCCTTACATCGGAGATGAACACTGAAATAGAAATTAAATTCAAAGTAAGTGCTCAAAATGGCAGAGTCTCGTGCTGATAATGTGTTATAAATAAAGACTGTAAAGTAAATAAATCGAAGACAAGTATAGAGAGAAACTGATATATTATTCAACTTTCAAACTTATGTTCATAATGAATTGAAAACTCCTTTATTTATAGAAGAAAGGAAGCAGTTGCGAGGCTTTTCAGGAAGCAGCTGCAAGGCTTTGCTTAGCTGCTTGTAAGCTGTCTGCATGAGCTGCTTGCAACCTGCTTGTTTAATAAGAAGCTGTTGCAAATCATTTCATTGAGTTGCTTGCAACCTGCCTGCATCAGCTGTTTGTAGATAAACTTCAACAGAGTACTAAATAGATAATTTTCTTCAGGAAAATTATCTATAGCGAAGTAATGAATTGACATCCACAATATAATATTTTCATAACAATAGTACTACCAACTCATTTCTTTTCAGAAAATGAAAGTATTTGACCCAAACTCAAGGACCTCGAAAAGTGACTTGAGCGTTCCCTTGTGAACTAGTCCACAAGTGACAAGACAGGCGCAAATCGATACAATTAGCTGAATAAACCGGGCCAGAGGATTGTCCAATGACCCAATAATCGAAGAGCCTATATGTACAACGTCATTTAGGGGTCATTTGGTACACAATAAAATTATTCCGGAAGTATAATTCCAGGATTATAATCACAAGACTAATTTATAGTAGTGTTTTAAAAGGCGTGGGCGTAAGGCGAGGCGTTTTACATATGCCTCAGCGGGGCGTAAGCCCCATAGGTATTTAGTTTTTAATATTTTATAAAATAATATAATGACAGTAAATATTTATAAACATGTAAAATTGCATAAATATTGAAGAAAACTATATATATGTGTGCTCTATCCCCACAAAAAACTAATCAAAACAATCTATTATACGTTACTTACAAGCACAAGTAATTTGAGTCAAAGAATAAAGTTTTCTATATGGAGGAACAAAAAGGATGATTAACCTGCAATTTGAACTTTGAATTTGCTACTATGAAGAAGAATGTGGTTCTCTTTGTATTTGTAAAAAAAATTAAATATTCGTTGCTTTTGGGAGATATTAGCAGACTAGCGGACAAGATAAAAAATTGAAAAAACCATGAATTAGGGCTTAAATCAATAAAAAAGATCTTTACTTTTAAATTTAATACTTTTGAGTTCCTTTTTAAACCTTTAGAGTAATTACCAAACTGACTTTTGAGAATTTGGATATTATATGAATGACTAATTCAACAAATTTTATTTTAATTTGAAAAAGTCTCTGGGGCTTACTCCTTACTAAAAAAACGTGCCCCGAATGCCCGGGCGTACGCCCCAAATTGCGGGACATACGCTTCTTGAGACTTTCGCCCCACACCATCGCCCCGGGGCGTTTTTGTTACGCCTCGCCCCGGGGCTCGCCCCAGAAACGCCTTTTAAATACCATTTGGGAGGTGGGATAAAATAATCCCAAGTTTGATGGGATAAGATGAGACATCTTGAATTAAGTCTGGGATTAAATTTATACCGTATTTGGTTGACGGTATAAATTTATCCTTTTATCCCACCTTATTCCTGGTACCAAACGACCCCTTAAGGCGCAGTCAACTTTTTAAAATCTATAGCTAGATAAGGGGTTTTAGAATTAAAATCACCATTATTGCAAGGTTGAAGAAGTGGTTCATGAATTTTCTATATGAAAATTTAAGTTTTAAATTTAAGCTCGTTTGGAGTAAATTTGGGCATTGAATTGTGTGTTGGATTGTTGAAATTTAAACAATAAGTTGTTGTTTAATTCCTAGGGCAAACATTTGTTCATACATGCGTGAAGCTCAGTGATATATGCTTGAACTTCATGCATGAGTGCCTGAAATTCAGTTGCATATGCCTTAACTTCATGCATAAATGCCTGACTGGAACTTTATGCACAAGTGTCTGAACTTGTCCTTTACAAGCCAAACTTCTGGCAAACATGCCTAAAGTTCTTTCATCTGTGTTCTCATTCTTTTTCTATTTTTCCACACTAATTCCTTTGAAAGAAGGAGAAGGTATGCAAGTTTCTGGAGAAGGAGAAATTCTAAAAGTTGCTCTATATTTGCTAAAAAGAATTTATTGTTATACTTGCAAAACTTTATAAAACCTGGCTAAAGTTAATGGCTGTCATGCGGCAGCTGGTCACATTCTTGGACTTTAACCGACCAATGAAAACCCATTGACTGAGGTCTCATGGCTGCAGGTTTGAAGTTCCACCAAGTTTATGTCCAATCTTATCTTAGTTGTTAGTAGGTTTTGAGATGTAATATTCTAGTGTTTCCACCATTAGTAGATGATAAGAAAGAGCTGCTTTTGCGTAGAGAATAGAGTAATCAAATGCAATGAGTTCATCACGGAATTTGTTGGGGGGAAATAAAGAAAGATCCCGAACTGAGCAATCAGTTGCATCAGATTTCGCAGAGGGTTAATCAAATCCATCAAAAACCAATGCCAAAATGAAGAAATGGTTTTATCTGTAAAACATATTGTTACAATAGAGTACAATGGCCACACTGCTAGCTGCACAAGAACTAAACCTAAGCTTTGAAACAGCACCAATCCAGCAGAAAAATAACTGAAATAAGTATATAACACTACATATTCTAGCCTATTCTCTCTCTCTCTCTCTCTCTCTCTCTCTCTCTCTCTCTCTCTCTTTATTGCCTCTCTTCCATTCCTTGATCGGATGGCGAATAACCTCCACATGGAAAAAGAATGAAGAAAATATATATGGTTCGACGAATTACAACTGGTCCAAGGGGAAGGATCGAATATCAGCTGATTCGAGTGACCAAATCTTCAGGGAGGCAGTCACACTTGCCCTCGTGGCATTGTTGAAAACGAACAGTCGTGCTGCTCCATTGATTGCCTTTGTTGGGTAAATTCGCGATGTTATGACTGTTCTTCCTCCTTGAGCAAAGCTCTCCACAATTGAGTGGTCCACCTGAGTTCAGTTTTAAGAAATTTTACTCAAAAACACAGATCATCCCAACTGTCAAATACATTCATAACACAAATTATTCTGAACCACATTATCTTGAATAGTTACCAAATTGACTACTTTGGAGCATTTCCATAAATTTAATAAGATGACTGGAAGAACTAATAAGCTTGATATTATTCTTGATTTGACGAAGGTCAGAATAACGGGATTATCACTTACCAATAATCTCATTGAGTGTTGTTCATCATCTAACACTGGTACTGAACTACCATACACTTGTTTAGCAACTCCAGGAGCCTCTGAGGATCTGCATCAGATCACGCCGCTATGTTATTCATCTATACTTTGACAAGGACTATTAAGATAGAGTATACAAGATAAACATAGTAGAAGCAAACCTAGTTTCATCAGCACAGAAGTAGGTTTCAGCTCGGCCATCAGGTCCTTTGGCAATGTAGAAGTAAACTGGAGTTAGCTCAGAAAGCGTTTGATCAGCAATTACAACGACACCAAATGGTCCCAAAATGCCTCTTTTAGCAGCACCTCCACTAGTACTGCAGTTGAAACCAACATCTGCTTCAATTGTTCCCTCGAGTGCTGCTTTGTCCACTTCAAATGAGGCTTCTACATCCAACTGCACCATTGCACATACAAGTTTTAGGACTGCACATTAAGCACATATAAGTGAAACGTTTTCAATTTCCAAGGATGAGAAAGCAAACCTGTGCGGCTGAGTCAACATGGACTAGCTCAATTGAGCCTGGTTGAAGATTGACCCGTTTCACTAGAGGATCACCAATTCTTAAGCTCTCAATTTCTTTAACTGGCCACTGAAGAACATGTGTCCTAGTCTCCTTATCATAAAGCACAGTCCTTGGAATACTCTGTTATTAAAACAGGAAAACTATTAGGGATATATCATCTCTTTGCATCTAAAAACCTCCATTTTCACGTTGCAATTCAGAACTTACTTTACCAGAGTTACGCCAAGGCACCCTAATGTAATACAAAAATAAATGTGTAATGCTCTTCGGAAGCTGAGGTAGTGTACTTGAAAAGTGTCCATACCTGTACAGATGCCCATCCCTTCAGCAGATCAGCAGCTTCACTGTCAGTTTCCCCAATCCATCCCCACAATATTCTTCTTTGTTCCTTCGGGTCATAAAATGTCTTTGACGCATAGTATTTCCCGTAGTCCAGTCTCAACCCGATACCCACATCCAATTGCGGGTTATCAGGAGTCCATTTGTTCTTTACCGGGTCATATGTCCCAATAGCATAGTAATCATGCTTATCGTCATCTAAACTTGCTTTTAACACATGCTTTATACCTGGCCCGTTATATGATGTGTCCAACCCGTTTGCCTCATCGGTTGATACCGGGTAAAAGTCCACACACTCCCACATACCCGTACCCGGAACCGCATGCAAAACTCCATCCAATAGCTTAAAGTTTGTGAAGTTGGAAGTACCATAAACAATTGCAATACCCGTTTTACCAATCTTGGACCCGATGGTAAGCAGCCACTGCCCGTTTTGTGGTCCGGTCCAAGCAGTCGTTGGGTCTCTAAAGTCCTTGACACCAATGCCGGGTGGTGGAACCATGACCGGGTTGCCCCGGTACTTGACCCAGTCGATGAGGAGGGGATCCGATAAGTTGGCGGGGTACGCAAGATTTTGCACCTGCACGTAATCATTGGTATCACCGGTGTATAACATCATGATCTGACCGTCGGGTAGGAAGGTCGCGGACCCGGTCCAGACACCGTTGATATCGTACCATTGATCAGGAACCAAGGCGAAGGGCAAGTAAAGCCAATGGATCAAGTCCGTGGATATTGCATGGCCCCATGTGATATTTCCCCAAATAGCTGAATCAGGATTGTATTGATAAAAAAGATGGTACCATCCTTTGTGGTATAATGGACCTGTTAAGTGTTAAAACAATTATTCATTTCACATGTTCATGTTTCTCGCCATGTTCAGTTATCAATGAACTTTCTACGCAATTTGAATTGTAAAATAACCTTTGCATATTCCGTACCAAAATTGTTTTTCTTTTTATGCGGGAAAAAAAATAGTATTCTTTGACTTCCAACTCCGCCACGAGTTTTTGTTTTTGACTTTTCGCTAATATATTTTTAACAAGTAAGCAAATTTGACTAGTGACAACCCTTCCTCCCCCTAAAAAAAAATACATGAACATTTCTGTTCTATTAATTTTTAATAGTGAATGCTAATTAAGTTGTCCGAATGATATTGCCCTAAACTTTCACGGAGCTTTTCCAAGAATGGACAATCGAGTAGTGTTAAGATTTTGGATTCTATATTTAGAAAAAGGAAAAGTAAAACAAAGAAGAGGAAACCCCTCCAAGTTAGGGAAAGGAGAAAAGGGACATCGATGGATACTAATCAAAACAATCAATAGTCTTCTCAAATAATTTCAACAATGAGAAGGTACGTTCTTAATTCTTATCCTTAATATTTTTTTCCTATATTCCTCTCTTCTATTCTCACAAGGCTGAATTGATAATAGGCATGAGCGGCTAGATCGACCCAAAAATAAAAACCCACTCCATTTCATTTAAAAATATAAGAAAAGAGAAAAAGACAAGTGGCTAGTTGGAAAGACAGACAAATCGTTGGCGGCCCCCAACTCTTACAATAATTTATAAGGTGTGACCCATATATTGTGATTGGTCCAGAGACTTCGTACATAAATCACCTAATCATGTGTCCTTGTATGAGAGATGTTGCACAAAAGCATTATTACCACACATATCGTGTTAATCCAAATTAAATTGGCCGCATTTGCTATATTAGTCAAGTAATCCAACTTCTTTCATTATTAGCCTAAATGATGTGCCAACTCATCTATGTATGACGGGGACTTATAAAGGTTTAGTTCAAAGAAAACCAAAATTAATTTTCTGATCAAAGGCTACAAAGAAAACATTACAAAACATGAGAGAATTAACTAATTAGCTGTGTCATATTTCTTGTGATTAAACAATAGCGTGTAGATTGTTATGGAAACTATGAAAAATTACTATTTTATTGGTTATGTGAATCTTTAACTAATAGCCGGATGCTCTAATCATGGTTCGAGAATAAATAACAAAAAAGTAATTATGGTAATAAGTTAAACTCACCATTAGGATCTGCAGCATATCATCCAATCAGAATCCAAAACATACCCAACAAAATAGCCATAAGAATCAATAAGAAAAAACCAGTGTAAGTATCTAAAATTCATATTTTATTAAAAGAATTAATAAGAGAAAAAGAAGCCAAAAAAAGGTTACCGTTCATCCAATTCTTTTGAGGTTGAAAATGGTAAGCAGTTCTTTGCCAAGTAAGCATAGCATTAGTCCACGGGTAGTACGAAAGGCTTCCACCGGACACATCCCTGAAAGTCTTCTCGGAAACTCCCTGAGATACACCTCTTGACAACGCCGGCGTCAAGGTCTCCGACGAGTGGGAGTTTTTTTGTGATAAGTCTGAAGATTGGTTGACGATCACAAAGACTAAAGAAAGCAAAAAGAAGGAGGAGAGAAGAATGCCGGAGACGACTTTGAGGGATTTCCGGTGACCGGACCCGGCGGATTCGGGTTGGTCCGGCAGGACAGTGTAATGGGTCGTGGAGTTTTCCGGGTCATAATGGGAATGGTGGGTGGCCATAATGGAAGATAGAGAAGAAGGAATGGGGAAGCTACTAGTCTACTGCTCAATATATAGAGAGAGAGGAGAAGAGGAGGAGAAAAGAGGTGAGGTGGTGAGGTGGGCCCCACTAAATTGCGTAGGAAAAGGGTTGTAAGTATGGTACACTTGGGAGGGGTTTAGAGGCTGATTTGGCTTCATTCAATGCTTAGTTGCAAACAATATTCGTTAAAATTACTTGCAAATCTATGAAAATATAACATATTCTTCACATCCAACAACAATAACATAATCAATATAATCATATGTCATGACCCAAAATCTCACCACAGACGTCGTGATGACACTTAGTCTCTAAGACTAAGTAAACCGATTTTCATTACTTTTCGAAGCCATATTTTTATATATATATATAAACCAACAACAAAAATAATTACAAACAACCTCCCAACACTCATAGTACTGAGTCACGAACTCTAACTAAATACATGAAATGATCTCAAGGATCGAATACTCAATACTGTTTGATTAATAATTAACAGTACAATAAAATGAAAAGACTTCAAGGGACTGCGACGACCAAGCAGCTCTACCTTGAATCCTTGCAATCACACTTTAACTCTGTCCCAGTCCAATAGCTCCAATACCTGGCTCTGTACAAAAATGTGCAGACGTGTAGTATGAGTACACCACGGTCGGTACCTAGTAAGTATCAAGACTAACCTCAATGGAGTAGAGACGAGGTACAGCTAAGACACTCACCAGTCTAATTACATGTGCAATATAGTATACAAAATAATAGAAAATAAATAATAATAATGGCAACATAAATCAACCAGTGATATACCCGACATGGCAACAAGAACACTATTAATATTACTCAACAAATAATAAATACAAGTACACCCAATTAAACCAAGTTCTTAAAATAAATATCTTTCACATATAATTCTTATAAATAACTCTCTTTTAAATATAATTGCCTCAGATAAATATCCTTCCAAATAAATATTTTGAATATAATTCTTTCAATTAAAAGTCACCATGTGACCCCTCATTTCATAATCATAAAAATACGGGTCTCATCCCTTTTCATATTTTCATGGCATTTCATGCCCATAATTAAATCATCATATCTCCCCGGCACCTGGTGCCCATTTTTCATATCATATCTGCACGGACAGTTCACATGCCAATAATAAGACCATCATATTTTTTCCGGCACTTTGTGCCCACATTTCATATCTCAACCGCACAGACAATTCACGTGCCAATATCATCATTATTTACTCACGGCACCTCGTGCCCACATTTCTTTTCATAATCCGCCTGGCAATAGCCACAGACTCCAAATTTCAACATAAATCAGATTATTATCAATTTACCAACAATAAGACAAATTGCACAAGGTATAAAAATAAACACAAGGAAAGTCACAACATCACATAAAATCTCCAATGCAACCACTCCAAATCATCACATATCATCCATGCCAATAGTCACATTTATCTCTCCTATAGCCACCCTTATCACTCCTATAATAGCCTCCCTTATCCCTCCCCACTGACAATATCAATAGCCATCCTTATCGCTCATATTGCCACCCTTATTTCTCCTATAGCCACCCTTATCGCTCCGCCCAGACAATATTCCAACACACATAACAACAATGAAATGCCACCCTTATACCCACATAATATTAACAGTGAAATGCCATCCTTATGTCCTCATAATAATAACTCAAATAATACAATAATTTACACAGAATATTACCACGGCAACATACAAAATTAATTCATATCACGATTTACCCAATGGCCACAACTAATTCCAAAGATATAATAAAATCAATTAATTTCACAACAATTAGCCCAAAGCTCCACACAATGTGTATAAAATCTCAAAATCAATCAACCGAGATAGAAAATAATCAGCATGGGGCAACGCCTTCATTAATCCAAATTTAGATAATTATATTAATATTTCTTCTTAAGCTTACTTAATTAATTATTTGCATAGAAAAAATTTATAATGGAATTAAATTCCAAGAAATATCAAACCATCGAACTCACGAAATTCACATAAATATACAAGTAATAATTACATCGAATTGTCGTATAAAAAAAAGTTCAATAAATGTGATTCAAGGCATGGCAATTAGATGATTAAATATATGCCCACAATTATTCAATTTACTACACAATATGCCTAATACTTTAACTCAATATATTTTGCATATATAAGCCCGGGTACGTACTCGTCACCTGGCGTACACGGCTTTTCACATTTCACAAATGGCACATAAGACTCGATGCCAAAGGGGTAATTCCCCCACTCGAGGTTAGCCAAGACACTTACCTTTTTGAAGTTATGCCGATTTTCCAAAATCTCCTTCTTGCTTGAATTGATCTCCGGGCAGCTCAAATCTATCCAAATTAATTATACAACTTCATTAAAATTCATCGAAAATAATTCCGGATAATAATACGTCGACTTAAAATTTTATTCCAAAAAGTCAACAAAAGTCAACGCGGATCCCGCCTCTCGGAAACCCGACATAAATTTCATGAATTCCGAACACCCATTCCGATACGAGTTCAACCATACCAATTTTATTGAATTCCAATAACAAACCGACCTCCAAATCTTAAATTAAACCAAGAGGGTATTCATAATTTTCCAACTTAATTCACCGATTAGATGTTAAAAATAACCATGGATTCGGGTAATTTAACTAATATTGAGTTAAGAACACTTACCCCATTTTTTTTCTTGAAAAACTCCCGAAAATTGCCTCTTCCCGAGCTCCAATCCGTCAAAAATAGAAAATGGGATGAAGTCCCATTTTCAGAACTTAAAATCACTACCCAGGCTTTTCTTCTTCGTGAACGCGGCCACTGCCTCGCGTTCGCGAAGCACAATTTTCGTTTTGCCAAATTCCTCCTTCGCAAATGCGACCGTCCTCTCGCGTTCGCGTAGACCAACTTGACTGCCCCTCCACTTTAGTCTTCGTGAACACGACACATGACTCACGAACACGATGCTTTACTCACACAGACCTTCGCGAATGCGACCACGACCTCGGGAACGCGTAGAACAAGGACCTGGGGTCCTCAACTGCCTCACTCCTCTTCGCGAACGCATAGCTTTAACACCAGATCCTCTTCGTGAATGCAAGACCTCCCTCGCGAACGTGAAGGGAAAATCTTGCCTGTATCAAATTCCCCTCCGCGAACGCGAGGGCCCACTTGCGAACGCGAAGAAGAAAACCAGAAGAAGCACACTAGCAGTCTTCAGCCAACATGCCAAGTCCAAAATGATCCGTTAACCTTCCGAAATCAACCTGAGGCCCTCGGGACCTCAACCAAACATACCAATGCATCCCATAACATCATATGAACTTAGTCGAACCTTCAAAACACCTTCAACAACACCAAAAACACGAATTACACACGGATTCAAGCCTAATGAACTTAGAAATTTCCGAATTTCACAAAGCCAAAACCTACTAAACTACGTCCGAATGACCTTAAATTTTGCACATAAGTCAGAAATGACACAATGAAGTTATTCCAATTTCTAGAATCGGATTACGACCCCGATATCAAAAAGTCAATCCCCGGTCAAATTTTTCAAAAATTCATCTTTCGCCATTTCAAGCCTAATTCCACTACAGACCTTCAAATAATTTTTCAAACACGCTCCTAAGTCCATAATCACCATATAGAGCTATTGACATCATAAAAATTCCATTCCGAAGTTATTTTCTCAAAAGTTAACTCTCCGGTCAAGTCTTTCCATTTAAGCTTTTAAATAAGGATTGTTTCTTTTAATTTAATTATGAATCTTCAGTAATTCAAACTCGACCGCACCCGCGGTTCATAATACATATTGCGAAACTGCTCTAGACCTTAAGTTACTGAACGAGGCATTAATTCTTAAAACGACAAGTCGGGTCGTTACATCGTATAACTGAGATTTGAGAAGGATAATGTATACGCAATTCATACCCCTACCTTGTTATTTTATTATTATGACCTTAGATTATTTACAAGGTCCAGTTAAATTTTTGTTTGTAGCTTTATAAGAATCTGTTAGTAACCTAATTGTTGAGAAGAAATGAATGACTTGGGTATGAGGGCAGTTCAGTCTATTTATGTATAGTCGATTAATTAGTTAGTAAGCGATTAATGGGAAAAGTGCAATGCGATTGTGTTGTCGTGGCTGATGAATTCAATTGCTCCGACCTTAATTAGTGGCATTGCATATGCTGCCAGTGCTCAGACAGTGTTGATGGATCTGCAAGAACGATTTGATAAGGTGAATGATACGCGTTGCTACAATCTGCACAAAGAAATTGCCACTTTGAGCCAAGGTACTGCATCTATTTCTGTTTATTACTCCAAGCTCAAAGATCTCTGGGATAAATCTGAGTCTATAGTACCCACTCCTGGTTTTAACTGTGTCAAGATAAAAAAGTTTATTGTGCATCTACGAAAACAAAAGGTGTATCAATTCCTAATGGGCTTAAATGACTCTTACTCATAAGCTCATAGTCAAATTCTTATGATGAAGTCCCTACCTACAGTGAATCAATCTTATGTTATGCTCATGAGTCATGAGAGTCAAAAAGTTGTAGCTGCTACTGCTGGTGGTGTGTTAGGACATTCTCCCACTGTAAATGCAAATGCATATGACTCCACTGCATTATATAGTGCTAAGCATACTGACAATCCAAAATTTAGGAAGAATTACAATGTTCAGTGTGAGTTTTGTAATTGAAAGGTCACAGCAAGGAAAACTACTACAAAATAATAGGGTATCCACGAGACTATAAGTTCAAAAAGAAAGGGAGAGCTGGTGCTTACAATGCAATGGCCATGTTGTGCCTTTGTACATTAGTCATGTCTCTCAAAACATGCCTATGCAATCTGTGCTAATGTAATCCATGCATGTGTACCATGACCATCAGTATACTATGAGCCAAGTTGTTGAAGGCTCACAGGGTCAAGGAAACTCTGTCTCTCAGATTCAAGCAGGTTCTTCCTTCTCA